ACTTACAGCTCTCTGATTTTCACAGTACAATACAAGCCCTAGACCCTCACCTATTAGTGGCCATTCTCTGGAGCTGTGCTAGTTTATGGACATCTCTCTATTGTACTGATGGGAGCAGTACTTCAGATGTGGCTCTGATAGCATTAGGCAGAAGAAAACAAAGACTTATTTCAGATTATATCACAAATGGCTTTTGCAAATGGCTAGTATTTATGCCTAGCGCTTCCTGGATGTCAAGCTCCAAAGGCATACAGTTTTTGTAATCTCTGAATTCATGTAGCAACCCGTGTTGATAATTGGGAGTGCAGTTCTTGGATAGGTGCCTCCTCCTGTGAAATACAATTGGTAGCGTTGAAGAATGAGGCTTGTGCCTACGTCTTTTATTCTACTATAGGTCACGTATTCTTGTACTGCATCTTTTGAGAGGCCTCTAAGAATTAAATGATGGCAAGTGGCCTAGAAGCTTGTTGCAGTCTGTCTCCTCACTGCCTATTCCTTATAGCCCTGTAGAGGCTATGGAGACCTATTCAGCACTGGGAACAGCTCGATTTGCACAAGACAAGGCCTGTGCTGATGTATGTGTGAGCTCTCCTATGTACTTGAGTAGTCTACCTTAGCAGAGGTAGCCTATCTGCACCCGAGCAAACAATGTGATGGTTGTCATTGGGTCATGTCAAGACATTCCTGATTTAAATAGTTGGGAGATAATGCAACTCTGACTATGTCCCGGCCCACACACAGCATAAAATTGGCTGAAGAGTGAGGGAAATGCACTTTGAAATGGTCATGAAAATTACGCTGTTCTGAAAGACCAAATAAAAAAATGAGCTTTTTCCTTAAATTTGCAGTGGTTCATCTCTGTATACATGAAATCTTGAACCAGGTCTTTTGATCCCAGATCTGTTATGCACTTCATACAAGTCTTCCCACAAAAAGCTCTTGCTGCTGACTTTTGACAGAAGTTTGTTAACACATCTCTCAAGGAGATCCCACAGCTTTCCAAGCCATCCTCGTGAGTGCCTCCCTCTCACAAGCACCAACATATTTTTGAGATGTTTCTTGAATCTTCCCTATTTATATGGCAATATTATGTAACTTATAGTTGTGATCTAAGAAGCAAATGCAAGTTTTTCTATAGTTATAATTCTAGATTTAGCTAGGTATTGTGGCTCTGTCTATGTTCATATACAAATGCACTCAGTTATGAAGGCTTCAAATGGCTCAGGAACTTGCCTACTAATCTCTGTGTAGATAAGACAATGAGTCAACATGGAAAGATAGTTGAACCTTCACCTGATGTTGTTAGGAAATATTTGACTATCACAAGAGCTCTCCAGGCAGGAATTTTATGAAATCCCACAGATTTTCCCTGACAGCTCTTGCTGTGCATGTACCAACTGATAGACAGCATTTGTATGCTTACATGCGTTGATTTTTTGTGTGGAGAATCCATTTGTACCAGGCACTCCCTCAGGCATTTTCATCTGAAGAACAGACAAAAGATGAATAAATAATGTAGGGAATAGAAACTGCTCCTGTAAATGCAAATACGGTCACATACTAGTCTTTCAAACCGAGTTAAGACAATCAGGAGATATTCTGAATAGTTTAGGACAACTGAGACTGTATTTGAAAATAATCTTTTAAGGGGCTGCAGATCCAGATAATAACTTTGTTTAGGTTCTATCCCAACAAGAATTCTGTTGTTTCCTCCTCTTCATTGAGGAGAATTTCTTATAGGGAACTGGATATGCAGGAAGAGGCTGCCCAAACCCGTGATTTTTCATACTGAAAGGAAGCTGAGTACACTACTATTGGAGTAGTCATGATCTGAAAAGAGAGTGTGCTTTATTTTCGGAAGAGCAGTGATGCTTTGACCATAGGCTTGGGAGGAAGCAAGGATAGTGTGCATGCACCTGTCTCCTGGTTCCTTAGCAGGGAGTTGACAAGCACAGTACTGGGAAAAGGACAGACTGTCTGAACACCTTACTAACACTTCACTTCTATTTCATGCAAAGGGAGGAAAGAATGACTAAACAAGTGCCTGATTTTGCACCAAATCTGCATCACCCTAGTGAATGTTTGGGTAGTGAGACCACTTGCTAAGTTATATCAGTAAGTTGCCAGTGGAAAGCTGCTGTTCTGTGGTACTTGTCTGTGTATACACTGTAGCTTAAACCAGTAAAAGATAATTCAAGTTTCCTACCTCTTTAGAAAAAAAGAGGGCTAATTTATGCTAATGAGAGATGCACAAGGTATAAACGTTTGTTCAGATGGTTAACTCTAAATTCCTATTGCATAGTAAGCTGTTATCCTAGGGCCCGTTGTGTTTTTACATGCCCTCTGCAATTGTCTGGAAAAAAAAAATACCTTGCTTCCTGACTGCAATTTAAACTGCTGCTGCATTAATAATAGTTTTGTATGTGCAGCAACAGATAATTGTGTGTGAGTTTCTGTTCAAGCTTTTTATCAGTCAAATGCTTTTACATTTGCTTGTTGTCTCTCACCTTATTTTAGGTAGCCAACATCTCAGTCCAAATGGTATCTGCGGAAGACAAGTTGGTAAAGAGGATTCTGGCAAGGAAAAAACATGGCAAGCTGAAGAAGAAAGAGAAGATGCTGTGGAATTTTCAAAACCAAATAATTCTTTTTACCCTCATTCTGTTTGTTTTAGGAGTTGTAACCTGGACTTTACTGTGGCTCTTCATTGGTGAGTTGCTGAAAGCTCACGCCTCTTTCAAATGTCGCTAATAACAATTGCAGTTTGTAGAATCTCCCTTGTCTTGAAGGCTCTTTCTTAAAGAACAGAACAAACAAACCCTCATGAATCTTATTTAAATGGGACATGGAAGAATTTTGAATATCTTTGTTAGAACTTCATATGATTGCCTGCTGCTATCTTTGTAAATTCACAGCTATTGTTTTAGGTATTGTGCTTGGTCTTTTATCAAGGGTTATACAAAGCATTTCTTGTGTGCTAGCTGATTGTGCATATAGTTATGATAATTTGATTCCTCATGAATTGTGACTTCCACTGTGTTTCTTGGCCTGCTGGAGGCCAGGTAAATCTTTTGTTCCTTATGCGGGATAGGTTTAAAGAAGAAGGAGGAAAATATAGAAAGCAAATACTTTTTTCATGATTTGTAAAAACACTAGACAGGACAAGAAAAGAAATGATAGTTCCTGTGAAGTGTTGCCTTCATGCTTGATATGGACAGTGAAAGCCTTGGCACTAGTACTGCCTAAGGTTCCTTAGGGACATTCCAGGATATAGATGTTGACACTGCCTTCATTACGCTTGTTCATTCTTACCATTGTATCTTATACTGTGTGCACAAAAAAGGTTCTTAATTAACCTGCAAATCATAGTACTCATCTAAATGAACTGGCCATGACAATTTAGCGTTGATTTGGTAGTTCTCTCCACTGTAAGGCTGAATGGATGAGCTTGGTTTAGAATTTATGCATTATTTAAAAAATAACTAGAGTTTGTTTTCTTTCTTTCTTGCAGTTCAGGCAGAAAACAAAGATGCGCTGTACTTTGTTGGGTTGTTCCGTGTTGCCAACATAGAGTTTCTACCTGAATATAGGCAGAAGGAGTCAAAAGAATTTCTCTCTGTGGCACAAAATGTCCAGCGTGTGGTAAGATGAGTGGACTGCAACACGTAGCAGGGACTAGAGCTGTAAACAGGAGGTGCAAATTTCAGGTGCCATTGAGTCTGCTGTGGTATTCTGCTGCTTTCTTTTTTTTTTCCCTCCCTCAAAAGACTGCAAAGGTGGCTGTCTGGAGGCAGAAAGGAACTAGCTGCTTATAGCTTGTTATTGTCAAAATAAACTTTGGAGAGTTCTGTTTGACATTTACATTTACTAAAAAATTTACATATTGTCCCCCACAAATCTGAGTCTATGAACAGAACTCTACACAAACCCTTCAAAACTTAATTGCCACTTTCAAGACATTGATGAGGTCTTTTGCATTCAAATTGGTATCTGCTGCCAGTCTTCCGCCTTAGAGCATCTACAATTACATTAGAACTCTCAAATACATTTACATTTACATTTCTTTCTGATACCAGATATTCTAAAGAGCATTATTCTTCCCAAATGCCTTGATCATTCACAGCAGAAGGAGAGCACAGTGTTGTAGGTATGCAGTTAGAACTACTTCCCATCTGGAAAGGGGAGGTGTGCATCTCAATTACAAGCAAATTTGCCTTTGAAGACATGTAGTGTGGGCAGGAAAAAAAACACTGCAGTCTAGTAATGCAGCACTGTCCACAAAAGGATTAAAGCACTAGCTTTAAAAAAAAAAAAAAAAGCTAAAACAAGTAAACAAAAAAGTCAGTGAAAACAAGAGATTTCTGAGTAATTGCTAAGTTTTTGCCATCTTATAATATGAACTCATGATCATGTTTTCTTGTTCTATCTTTGATAAGAGGGATGACATTTTTTCCCCTAGAAGCTGTCATGAAAGACTTTGAAAGGAAGCTTGTTTTCTTATCCTGTATGTCAATGTCTCTTGAAGTGCTTTCAGGCCAGAGAGGGAGCTGTACAGGTATTGCCTTTCCCTACCCGCAAAGGAGCAGCTCCAACCTACTGTGGGCCCTATGTCTTGCTCTTGTCCTGGCTTATCTTGCTGCTATTTCAGCACGGGGAGGTGACAGATAAGAGGTTGAACTGGCAGTGTTACCACTTCTACTTGAACATAACTTGGAAATTATTTCTTGTCTCTAAACTTTGCTTGAACTCACCTATAGAATTTTGCACTACTGATGCAGTGCATCTTGCTCCCTGACTATTGGCTAAAAAGGCTGGTAGGGGTGCAGGGGATTTGAGTTTGTGTGGTTTGTTTGCTTTTTGTCACTGAAACTCCTTTGTTTATGATTCATGGCTCTGAGATCCCCAGAACAGCAGCTGAAGAACCTCTCAAGATAGAATCGTTTCCCCTTTGATAGTAACTGTACTGTATAAAATCCCTTGCTACCTAATCTGCAGAAAGATTGAGCTCCACCTATCTTATTTAGGCCCTTAAAAGAATTGTTCGGACTTCTTGTGTCAAACACAAAAAGTTAGGAGATAACAGTAATGTGACTTTCACAGGCTTTGCCTCAAAAAAATCCATTTTAGTCCCTTGAGTATTAATGTTAATGATTAAGCTGCAGGACAGGGTCTGTACAGCTTGAGGTACATGCCACCTGGTGGTATTAGCAGTGTGCCTCCTTCAACAAGAGGAATGAAGTAACATGGCATCAGGACACTCTTAGCTAAAGAACTGGTAGAACTGGGAGCATACTTTCCCCAATAGCAGTCCCACAGCATGAAATGGTTTTTCCTTCTCCATGTATATTGTACAGTATATTGGAAAGAAATATGTTAATGCTAAGCTGCTAATAGAGAAAATTCCCCATTAATATTGGGATGAGGAACAGAACAACCAAACAAAAAACACTGTTTTCTGGTGAAGGTGTTCAGGTTGTCCAGAGAGATTGTGGAGTCTCCATTCTTGTAGATAAAAAACCAACTGATTGTGGTGCTGAGCTGTTGTTGATGCTGCTTTGAGGAGGTTGGACTAGATGATTTTCAGAGGCGCCTTCCAACCTCAACTTCAAACCTCAATCTTCTTGTAATTCTGTAAAATAAATATATATATAATAATAAATAATAATAATAAATAATATCTGTTGTATGCTGTTCACTGCATTTTAGTGGTAACGTGCATGTTATGAGTGCCTGTTATTTTCCTGAAGATTGGCACTAAAGGTTTTGCATTTGGAGAGAGAAGGACTTTGTGTTTGGAATTTTTGGAGCAAAGAATGTGCACTCTTTTCAAAACTCTTTTATTTGGGAAAAGTGTTTGCTGTGCACATCAGCTGGCCTTGTACAGAAGAAATGATGTTCCTGTTAATACTGGACTCAGTATCAGTGCATTGCAGAGCCAATCTGTCCATGTCTATTGCTATATGTCTGGACGTGTGTTGATTTTTTTATTCTTGGTGAAAAAGAGGATATTCCTGGGAAAATCTAGGCCTAGAATGTCTCTAGGTATGTCTGATTTTTTGAAATGCTATATGTTTTTCAGCTTAATATTTTCTCTTTCAGATGAACTTGGTTTACACGACCTCCTCTTTCTCCAAATTTTATAAGCAGTCCACTGTTACAGAAGTCAGGTAAAACTGTGGTAAATGCATTCGTATTTTTGCTGGATGATATGTGATACAATGAGCCCACAAGAGAAGCCTGTTTTTGGTTGCTGTGATTTAATCATTCTGATAATCACTTATACTGATAGCAAAATAGAAGTATAACCTGCACCAATTCCTTTCATGCAAGTAAGGGCAAACTAAAGTCATTTCAACAGTTTGTTTTCTGCAGGGTAAATGGAAATTTAAGGTTAATTTAAGTTACGCAGAAATAATATCCCTGAAGAAGTATGGTGATATTTTGGCTGATAAGTCATCAATACCCTGATGTTTAGCCACGCTAACATGCTGTTACAACAAAACTCTATATTATTTACATTACAGAGTTTGGTGTATTTTATAGGTGTTATTGATATTAAATTGTTTTGTACTGACTGATGTCTTTGTACGGGAGAAAGGAAAAACCTCTATGCTGTGATAAAGTATGTTTACTTTAGTATTAAAAGTGCAGTTGATGTGAAAGGATTAAGTATCTCAATCCTCATAAACTAAGAACAGTTTTGGAACATGAGTTTCTGGCTTATGTTTGATTTAAGGAATTTTCTTCTCATCTGATGGGCAAAGATTGATGTGACCAGTTTCAGCATCTAAAGCATTACCTAAGTAGTGTAGAAATTGGTTCTTGCACATTACAGTACTCAGTACAGCGTGAGATGCACTGAGATGCAAAGTTCTGCATTTCTGGAGATGGCAATTGTACCATTTCTCTTGCGATATTTAGGAGGTAATCCAGTCCTAACTCAAGTAGTTAGGATGTTTTTGGCAAACCACAAAAGCCAGAAAATCATCCTAATCAAGATCCTCAACTGGGCATAAGACGTGTTTTGGGTCTCCTTTCTTCAAAAAAGAAAATATTCATTATATCAAACCAACAAGACGATTTGTAAATGAGCCATATTGTTCAAAAGAAGCATGTGTTAAGTGTCTAGTCTTCAGAAAACTTTCAACGTGACAGTAATCTGTAGGACCTTCTTATTTCAGTAACAACAATAATGGAGGCCTTCTTATTCACTTCTGGATCGTATTTGTGGTACCGCAGGCGAAAGGCCAAGCACTGTGTGAGGACTGTGTGGCTGCCATTTTAAAGGATTCTATTCAGACAAGCATCGTTAACCGGACCTCAGTGGGAACTCTTCAGGACCTTGCAGTTGACATGGACTCTATTGTACTAAGTGGTTAGTATTAGTACATGTCCCTGTCCTTGAAGGGACACTTTATTTATTTTTTTTTTACCCTTGGAGTTAGAGATTCTATAAATATACCAGCATCTCTATTCTGTGCTTCTCATGGGGTGAGAGGGGCTGGTGGTGTAGAAAAGAAAAGACTGGAAGTCAAATTAAGGTACAAAAGCAATCCTTCTTGTACTTGTTTCTCTTCTAGTTCTGGAGCTAAGCCTGACACCTTGCAGCCAACTTAGATTTGGCTTAGGCTGTGACTTAGAAGGTGCCAAAAAGTGATGGGTCTCTTTCTATGCAAAGATCAAACTTCAACCCACTCCACTGAAAAGGAGATTCTTTTCACACTTTTATTAGAGTTAATAAATAAACAGTATACATATATATTGTAAAGCTGCCTATTCATTAAACAACTTCTATACGCTATGCCATTCCTGTTTAGGGAAGAAATTAGCAGGGAAGGATTCAAGACCCTGTTTAATGTAATTAGTTACAATGTAGGTTAAGATTTTTAGCTCTGTGAACAAAGGACAGATCAAGCTTTATGTGAATAAACCTCCCCAGCTGGAAGCTGGAAAATAATTTGAGATCAAGGGTGAGGAAATCACTTCCTAGGTACCTATGCCTCAGGCCTTCAATTGAATTGGATTGCTTAATTGAGATGCAGTCCCTTTGTTCCTCAGGCCCTGAGGTTTTGTCTGCAGCTATGACTGATGCTTCCAAAGCAGCTTGCAGGTTTTGCAGAGATGGAATAGGCTCCAGCAGTTTTCCTCATTGAGACAGCTGTTTCATTCTATGTGCTTAGTACTAGGATTAGCGTGATAGAATCAAACACTGAATTCTATTTTTTGTGCAAGTGGGAAGACTCACGTGACCTTTCTTCTGTGCAGCAGGTCTTCGATCAGATTACTGGTCAACAACAGGAACAGGTAATTCACCATTTTGGCAGCTTCCTGGCAGAGGTAGAGAATGAGTTCTAATTCATGTCTTAAGACTCAAAGGTACTGCTCAGTATTAATTTAAAAGGGTTAAATTCAGCCCTGGCATTTCTTGCTTACTTGCTGTTAGAGTGACCAAGAGTTTTGCATGTGACAAATACAGAAACTATCTGCCTTCATTTTGACTGTTAAACTTTGACAGTATCAGTGGCATGGTGGGGAATAAGCTTAGCAGTTGTTTGCCAATTATTCTATGCTGAAAAGAATATAAACTTGTTCTAATCTGGGCGGTACTGAATTTAAATCTGTTTATTGGCTTTTACCCTGAAAAATAACAAAGCTTTTGTCTATCCTTTATCCTACTTACTCCCTTTTCGCCAAGGTTAATGATGCATTTTTCTTTTAAATGAATTCCCTAGCAGAAGTTAGTCCAAGCAGTTCAATTTAGCCGGGGTAATGGGAGACACTGCTTATATTCCTGTCTGATTTAGTGTTTTAAACTTCCCTGTGAGAATCTTTGCTGGTATGCAGAGACTTCACAAGCAGACAAGAGGAGTTCAAAAGTAAGTCACGGCTCTGTTTGTTAGCACGTGCAGTAGATACCTAGAAAAAAACACTGCTAGGCTAAGCATTAATATACTAACCAACTTTGATGAGCTATCTGTTAAGTCTTTGATTTAGTGGCTGTCAGTCAGACAGGGGCTTGCTGGTATCTCTTGCTCCTTGACACAGGCTTATTCTTCTTCTTGTCAAATCACACTCTTTCGATTTTTAAGGTCTTTATTCCCCTCCATATCTATGATTTTTGAGATATTAACTTGTATAAGGGTTGCTCTGAAAGTAACACTCCCTATTTTATTATACTGGCCCACGAAGTCAGAGGCAGATGGTGGCATGGCAGTAGACGCTGAACCTTCTTGTCAGTATTCTCTTACATTCTGTTGCCATGTGACAGATGGCAGCAGAGGGGCAGTCTGACAAAATGGAATCTGGCAGCGAATCATAGAATAGAATGACTTGGGTTGGAAGGGACCTCAAGGATCATCAAGCTCCAACCTCCCTGTTGCAAGCGGGATCGCCAGCCTCCATATCTAATACTAGACCAGGAAGTGAGTATGAAACTAAGGTATGTCACTGAATTCCTCACTTTGAAAAAAGTGGCACTCACTGGTGTTCATCGATGCTAGCTGAATGTTTATGGAAACCAAACAGTAGATGTGAGCACAGTGAGGCAGTAGGTGATACATATGGTGACAGTGGGTCACCTCTGCAGATGCAGATGTGTACAAGTGCAGCACGCAGGCTCTTGTTCATCGTTGGTAAAAATGCATAGCTAATGGTAGTGACTGTTGAAAAACAGTGTTTTGTAGCTGAGAATTTACTCTATCAAATAGTGTCGTTGTGCTCTTTGTATCTGCTGTAATTTCCAGGGTAATAAATAGGAAATGTTACTTTCAGAGCAACCTACTTAAATTGTATTGTTGCCTTCTAAAATGGTCTGTCCAAACAACACAATCCCACAGACTATTTTTTCTTAGTATCCTTTTTCTTAATATTTCCAGATGCTTTCCTGAACACATATAGTTGGGAGTTTACATTTAAGATAGTTTCATTACATCTTGTCTGATGACATTAATCTTTCCAGTTATTCCAGAAAAAAATCTGGTAGTAGATTTCCTGCTGTGAGAAATGTAGCATCTGATGATCTTTGGTTTATGTTTTGCCCTTCACAGTCAAGTCATATTAGTGCATTACAGACAATCCTGCAGCTAACTTAAATACTTTTTTAGTAGTTCAAATTCCAAAGCTCACAATTTATTGTAATATTTCTTTTGCACATCTCTTTATGGACATTTTAATTACATAACAGAATTAAATTTGTTGCTCGCTTGCATTGCAACTTCATTTTCCAGTTCAGTGTTCCAAGGCGGAGGAATAGTTCTTAAAATTTCATTTATTTATTGATTAGGATTTAACCTATTATCTTTCACATAAAGGGATAAGGATGGCCTGCCATGTTCTAAACATCTTTCAAAGACTAACAGTGCTGTCTGTCACAGCTGACAACTGTTATCTATGAGTAGTGCTTGTATCAGTGAAGTTGCAAGAGAACAACAATATGAATTGCTGTGACAGTTCAGAAAATCATATATTGATGCAGTTTCATTTGCTAGGTTCCCTTGATTATGTCTGCTTAGGTCTGTAGAATATGGTGAAAAGATGGAAGTGGGATTAAGTACATCTTCAGCAAGTTTGTTGATGACATCAGGCTCAGTAGTGCTGTTGATAAAACAGAAGGAAGGGATACCACCCAGAGTGACCTTGAAAAGCTTGAGAAGTGGACTTACGTGAACCTAATGGGGTTCAACAAGACCAAGTGCAAGGTGCTGCACTTTGGCAAAGGCAATAGCAATATGTGTACTGTCCGGGAGAAGAACTCACTGAGAGCAACCCTGTGGAGAAGGACTTGGGGGTCTTGGTGGATGAGAAGCTTGAGGCAAGCCAACAGTGTGTGCCTGCAGCCTGAAAGGCCATCTGTGTCCTGGGCTGCATCAAAAGAGGGGTGGCCAGCAGGGAGAGGGAGGTGATTTTTCCCTTCTGCCTATGCTTGTGAGGCCCTAGCTGGAATGCTGCATCCGGGTCTGGGACTCTCAGCACAAGAAAGACATAGAGCAGTTGGAGCAGGTCTAGAGGAGGCCACAAAAATGATCAGAGAGCAAGAGAATCTTTCCTATGAAGATATGTTCAAGTAGCTGGGATTGTTCAGTCTGGAGAAGAGAATGTCTGGGGAGACTTCTCTAGGGTCTTCCAGAGCTTGAAGGGAGCTTAGGAGGCATATCAACTTTTTACATGGAAAGATAGTGGTAGGACAGGGAAAAATATTTTTAAACTAAAAATGGGAGATTTAGTTTAAATGTTAAGTGGAAATTCTTCATACAGAGGGCAATGAGGCACAGGCTGCACAGAGAAGCTATAGCTTCCCCATCCCTGGAGGCGTTCAAGGCCAGGTTGGATGTGGCCCTGGGCAACCTGATCCGGTGTGTGGAAGCCTTGCCCATGGCAGGGTGGTGGAACTGAATGGTCTTTAAGGTCCCTTCCAACCCAAGCCATTCTATGGTTCAATGACTCTATGATTACTTCTAACACCAGGGCTAGGTCTGAATTCTGTGTGTCATGCCCTTTACCAGCAATGAGCTAGTCAGACTGCAATTCACTTCGTAGCAATAATGACAGTAATAGAATTCTAAGGAATTTCTGTTGATTTAAAACTGGCTGCTTTAGGGGGTGAGAAAATATGCAGGAAGAAGTACTGTTAAAAAAAAAAAAAAGTTACTGGAAAGAGTTTAAAAAAAAAAAAAAGGAAGAAACAATAGTTCAACCAAAGCCCCAAGTAGTTATAACTGTAATTGAACTCAAATGGCATGTGACTCTGACAAAATGTTCTCAAGCATTTATAGCATTAGTTTCAAGATTGTAAGTTAAAAGTGGAAGTTGGGCAAGGCCTGCCTCTTCCTATCTTGAACATCCAGCGATTAAAACACCAGCATTCAATCTGAGTTGATGGGTGAGAGCACTGTGAAAATTTGCCCTAATTGAAGTTCCACTAATGTAACTATTTCAGACACTTGTCTCCTTAGGAGGTAGAGATTCATGCAAATATCTACTGAGTTTTATTTTTGCTAATTTGCTTGTTTGCTCCTTCTCACCTTTCAAAGTGCTATGTTAAGAGTTCTATGTATGACCAAACAAAAAAATCCCTAAGCATTTTGCTGAATGGGGACTGCCACATTTAATTGAAACAAAGACCTCAATATGTTTGACTTGAAAGCCATGCTTTGTTCAACTTAGTTTGAAAATTTTATGTAAGTAGGGTAACTTTTTGGTGATTTCTTTCTAATATATGATATGTTTTTGTAGTTGTTTTTTAATAAAAACAGTTTGTGTAGGATAGGTTGTACTGTCTATTTTTTATAGCACAGAATCACTTCCAACCTGTTTTAATAGGTGAATCTGAACATTTCCTAGGGAATAATTGTTTGTTATTTATCCTTTTAAGGTCCACAGATCTTTGTTAACTGTGGACATGTGCTGCACAAAATGCAGAACTTTTGTACCAGTTAATAGTTACAGCCATTTATTTACCGTACTCTTTGCCACGCTCTTTAGCTTTATGAATAGACTTCTCCTTTATCACAGACTCTTAAGTAGAATAAGAACAGTGAGTGACACAGACTCCTTTGTTTTCCTATTTGGATATTATAGTTAGGCTTTTTTTTTTTTTGTACTCTGCAAGGATTTAAGAGTTTTCGAGCAGGTTTCCAGCACTGAAAATGTGATGTTTCCACAGGAACAAATTGTATGTATGATCTGCATGCTGATCGTCTACATGAGCATTTTCCTCTGGATATCCATGCTACCTCTGGAGGAACTATCTGCTATCTTAAACTGATAGCATTAGTGGGTCATCTTATTCGTCTTTCAGTAGTATCCCTTCAGATTGAAGCAGATAACTGCATCACTGATTCACTAACTATTTATGACTCTTTGATGCCAATCAAACATAAGATACTGTATCGGTGAGTATATGTTCTCACTGAGAATTCATTGAAAATCTTTTCTGAAGATTTGTTGTATGATTATTATTATTTTTGCTTTGTTTAAAATATCTCTATGCACACAATACCAGAAATACTTTTTTTTTAAATCCCTGTAAAGAAGTGGAAAAGTTAAAGAAACCTTTACATATTCTTCAGATTCTTCTTTTTCAAGTAGAGTGCATCTTCACATGCGTTATGAAATATGAAAAGTTCATGCATTAATGGATGGAATTTTCTCTTTATCAGCGGGAAACAGATGTTAACTGGAAGAAAGTGTCATAATTTCTTCCTGTAAGGGAACTTGTCTTCCACATAAGTTGGGCTTGTTTAGCTTGGAGAAGAGAAGGCTCCAGAGAGACCTCACTGGGGCATTCCAGTATTTGAAGGGAGCTTACAAGCAGAAGGGGGACCGAGTTTTTACACAGTGTGATAGTGATAGGACGACTTTAAACTAAATATTTAGGTTAGATGTTAGGAAGAAACTTTTTACTCTAAGGGTGATAAGGCACTCATACAGCTTGCCTAGAGAGTTTGTGGGTGCCTCATCCCTGAATACATTCAAGGACAGGTTGCATGGGATCCTGGGCTGCCTGATCGAGTGGTTGGCAACCCTGCTTATAGCAGAGGGTTTGGAATGAAATGAGTTTTCAGGTCCTCTCCAGCCTAAGCCATTCTAGGTTTCTGTCAGTAGAGATCAGTGGTGTTTCTAACTGGTCCAATTAGAGGCACTTCTGAGTTTAAATGTATGGATTCTTTTTAACTAAGCTTTAAAGTACACAAGCACTGTAGCAGGGAAAAATTCAAAATGGGAACAATGTGTTACTGATGCAAATTACTCCTTTCTTCCCCCCTCTAGGGCTTGCGAACCCGCTGATTCCTTGGTGTCACTTGTGTCCACGAATAATCTGATGCTGGTAATATTTAAGGCAGCACACATAAAGGAACAGAAGGGATTCCATGGCTATTTTGAGGTCATTACGCAAGAAAGTGAGTTTGTTACGTGTGGAAATGCATTTGTTGTATTTCCTACCTAAAAGCCCTAAGTGGCTATCATGTTCCTTACTATGAATAAATGACTCCTTACAATTATGTATCTCAGTATTTCCCTATATTCCTATCCCTCCTTTATCTCCTCTGCATTACTAAGTGGCTCAGGAGTAATTTCAGCCGTTCAGATTAGCAGTCTACCAGAATGTAGAAAGCTGAACCAGCATTGACTGAACTTAGTAGTCAGAGCTGCAGTGTGCCAGTAGGTGGAGTTGTTATTCCAGATGTGGCAGTGCTCGGGCCTTTCTCCTGATTTGGGACTCGGTGATAATGTTAAAGG